ATTTCTGCCTCCTTTCATTTCAGTTTGGATTTGTACATTTTTTGTTGTGTATGAAAATACAGTTTTTTGTTTTTAAATGAAATAAATAAACAAACAAATAAAAGACTCCTTATAAGAAAAAAAGTCAGAATTGATGAGTCTTTTTTGGTGAATGGCTCTTAGGCTCTTCCATGGCAAAGAAACTGTACTTCTTTACATTTCTGTAAATGAGTAATGAGTATCTTGAATAATATTACAGAATGGTCAGTGCAAGTTAACCCACACAAAACGGAAATAAGACCAAGACCTGCAGAGACTGTGTTCAGGCTGAAACACTGATCATAAACTAATCCACTGAACATGGTCAAACTAAGTCTGTATTGACAAACTGACAAAACTTTGGACTTGTTCAACTGCTGGGCTGTAAATTTCAAATAATTTACGACATGCTGATATTCCACCTGATTGCTAGATTTTCAGGCAACGAGTCATCAAATCCAAAAAAATCCTGAAATCATCACAGTTCTTCTTATGCAAATATTCATTTCAATTTGAAAGTAATCCATGGGCGACCGCTGGTGATGGCACGTAATGTGTGGAAATGATGTGCTGGCACTGCAGAGACAGTACTAACGGAAAGACAATTAGCAGATTTACCACGGTGGACTCAGAAAATCTGTCATGTCACAGATCTCTCAAGTGGGGAAAAAAAGTGCGGAAACCCCGTAAATCTGCTTTAACAGAGACGGARGTCTGAGCGGAGAGGCTAAAATGGGGCCAACCGCTCCTGGTTTGATTCCTCAGTGGGAAATTGGTTCAATTTCTAACTTTAATTGCAAAAACTCTGAAGCTCGTTTTAGAATAATTTTGAGTTTGAAATTAAAAAAGGTTTATAAATGCTGTTGAAAAGTTTTCTTTTTATACAATCTGGCATTGAAAGTATTGACTTTTGAATTAATTTTAATATCCATGTAAGCCTCAATATGTGGTCATATAAGCTGCCCGAGTAAATATACGACTGTTTCTGTAGGTTTCACAGGCTTTAGAGTTGTGTCTGTGCTCTAAATCAGGTTAAAGATTGACACGCATCTATCATATTTTGATGACTCTAAGTTGATAGGTGTGTAATTRTGTGTGTTGATTTATGGCGTCGCTCCACCAGGAGCTGCCGAGCCTCTGTGGTCGAGTCCGGACCCAGGTCCCACTGCAGCCTTTCATCCTGACAATAAAGAGCTRCCAGCTGCTCGCACCGGCAGCTTGTTAAATGAGATCTCTTATCAAAGTGCGAACAGCTGTGAGCTCGGTTTGGCAGGCCGGTCAGGCTATGAATCACCGAGGGCTGCACTCAATAGCTGCTGCCCGAAGGGGGTGGGCGGCGGGGGGGGATGCCAGGCTCCCACTGCCTTTGTGCAAGTTTCA